GGATGAAAGGCCACCCTCTCAGGATTGAACTGAGACGTCCCTTGTTTGAGTACTGTGCGCCACAGGTACGTAGACTACATTTCCCCGCCTCTCGTATGTCGGTATATCGGACTTATTAAACGTGTTATCAGTCATCATGCACTCTAGACGCTGACCATCACGCAGCTAGACAAACATTCATGCTGGCGAAGACAAGCACCGCCACGTAAGCGACACACCGTTAATGACGCTCTTCGAACGGCTGCGTTGCTAGAACACAACCAAACGGCCAACTCACGGCAACTTGCCTGCGTACAGAATTATACTTCTCTCTCAATTAACTGACTTCTGACATAGGGCGGAATGAAATAATTGTGTGTAGTCATGGTTGATGTAACACCCTTATCCGTCATAGATTCGTCGGTGTTTCGAGAGCATTTGATACCCATCCATTGGAAAGAAGATTGAATAGGCAGAACAAGAGTCGCTGACTGTGTGTACAAGTAACAATTGTTGGCCCATCTCACTAAAGGCCCAATTAAATTCTGAAGTTCCGCCTAAATTAGGAGAGACTGCTAAGAAGTTGGTATTATCGTTTGTCGTGTAGTGTAATTCCGAAATATTTTAATCGTACCGGAATGCTATCCCTTTAGTTGGATTCTTTCTGGTCGTCCACAATAACTACACTCAGTGTAAAAATTTTCGTGTATGCAGTTTACACTTACTCCATCCATTTTCTATGCCCTTATAATTTAAAATAAACTCAATGGAAGACTACGTTCTTTCATTACTTTGTTTGCTAGCCAAGTTTTATATAGAGAAGGGATGTCGGGCTCGTAAATTTTTGCAATTGGTGTGTACTATAAACGGCAAAATAAGACAGACAAACACAACGCACTGTAAATATATATTCTATGGTATTAGGAAATCGCGTGATTACAAACGTTCCTGAAACACTACACAGAGTGTGCTACAGAAAATAATACGAAAATGAATATTTTGTGCTTCATCAATATAAAAGAGGCGAGATTTATTCAATGGAAAAAATATAATACTTAATTTATCAGTTGTAACGGAGGTAGTTGTTACAAATGGCGAGAATAAATATGGCAAAGCAGCCTAAACAATCCACTATAAACAGAAACATATTTCAGAAAATAAAATTGGCAACACGCTGATCCTTTTTTATTAAACAAGCTGTGAATATCGCGCCTTTTGTAAGTGAATGTGACCGCCTTTAATTCCTTTTTCGATTTGTGGCGAAAGGTGCATACATTTTTGTGAGAACCCTCAACCACAGTCACATGCCCGATAGTACCCAACATGACATGAGGCCCGTGGCTCTGTGGTTAGACCATAGTTGAACTTATAATCAAGCGGTTGCGGATTCCAGCCCCAGGAGTTGTAAAACCTGAGGTCGGACGTAAGTAACTGGTGAGGGGTTAAGTCAGAAATTTGCATTCCGGACTCTTTTGTCAGTTAGATTCTCCTGTCCATCTTACTACTCGGTCTGCGGCTGCTGAAACTCGGATTGCACCCGATGTTCATGTTCTATCAGCGCCACGATTCCCTGTGAATGCCAGCGTCCTGTCTGAGAATGCCTATTTTGCATAAAAGACAAAAGACAACCAGTGGAGCGTGACTTACGGGAGTGTTATTAATAAGGCTATAGAGGTGTGGTCCGGCAGCGGGGAAGGACGCTGAGAAAAATAAGTCACACATTTTGCACGAGTTGTGCTTTTCGGACAATAGTGAACATAATTCAGTCGTTTAATAAAACTAAAAGTAGAGAAAACCGCTAATCGCTTAATTGCCATTATCCTGCCTATGTTACTTGTCAGTCTGTAGCTGCTGAATTTCCGAAATCTCAAAACCTACGTGCTTCCCACAGCGACGAAGTAAACATTTTGGGAAGAAAGTTAAGAAAAATAAGTACAAAAATGTTGCATGAAAAATTTTTTGGTAAACATATTTTAGCTTTTTTGTAAAAAGAAAAGCAGAAACAGGTCACTTATCAGTAAATTGAGGGCGAATGAACTTATGCCTTAGTTCACTAGAAGACGCTTGTTCTGGAGCACCTTAAATTAACTAAATATGCTTACATTTTCATTTATTAATTTGGTACGTCGCTCAGCGTGATTTTATTAGGATGTTCTGCCGCCTACCTTAATAGCAAGTTATTCTTTTAAGTAAGGAAAAACCTTAAGGCTGATGCCTAATGGTCCTATTATGGAATTCTTTGTTTATTCGTCCAATCAGCATCCTAAGCCCCTTTAAAAACTAAAATTTTGCAAAAGCATTTTTTCTTTTTATGGGTAGAAAATGGCCTGCCGTACTCCGAACACAGATTCCCTTTTTGCCTAAATAAACGGTTAATTCCAATGCTGTCCTAATTTATTTTTAATAAAAATAACGTCTGAATCGATTGTCCAGGAAAACAGTTGTTTATAAGAGGCCGCTGTGTGATGCTCCCAATTATGTATTTCTAAGCACTGGACTCTTATCCTCTCACGTCTTCTATAATGGAGCCCATTATATTTTCAAAATATTTGAGGAGGAGAAGAAGAAGAAGAAGAGCTGACTTCATGCACTCTGTTTCTTTCACAGGTAGAGACTGGACTGCAAGAAAGTTTCATTCCTTTAAAAGGTAAAGCGTTGCCTGTTCAACTCTAACCTAAGCAATTAATCTAGGTGAAGAATTACGAAAATAGTCTTAAGAACACATGTAGAATATAAAATAGATTGGCTACACTGTTCACTGAATACTCCAGGCCGCATAGTTCACAAGTTTGTCGTCTCTTACGTCGGTGTGCACCGTGTGCTACAAGCCAAGGTGCAACAGGCACAGGAACTTCCGCAGAAATTATTTTACAGTGACTGTAGACTTGCATAGCACATACCGCACGCTCTCGTCCTAACTCCCTAGCTGCTTTGGTGTCAAGACAGAGTCAAAAAGCCCAGAGGCTAGAG